TCCTTGGAACCATCCTCCTTCTCTTGAGGACAAAGCTCAAACCAATGTGGAATGTCAATTACCTCTTCGTCCTTAGCATTTGAAAGCTCATTTTCTTCTTCACTAACTTTCATGCTATCAAACTTCACAAGCACATCATCAAAAATCTCATGAACACCGTTAGTTGAAGAATTAATCACAAACACATTATCCAATGAACGAAGGGAATTATCATTCATGAATCCTTTCACAAAAGACAAGGATGTATGCATTGGTTTTAGCTTAAAACTTTCTTTTTCATTACCAACTCTCAGAGTGATACAACCTCCTTTAACATCTATTAGAGCACCCGAGGTAGCTAAGAATAGTCTCCATAGAACAATAGGAATGTGGTCTTCCTCTTCAATTTCTAGCACAATAAAATCTACAGGAATTGTGAAACCAACTATCCTAAGGGGAACATCTTCAACTCTTCCTTTTGGGAACTTAATAGATCTATCGTCCAATTCCAAGGTCGTGTTTGTAGAAAGAAGTACTCCAAGATTTAGCTTCTTGATCACCGAGTAAGGCATAATGCTAACACTAGCACCTAAGTCACACAATGCATTTTCAAATAACTTACTCTTGATTTTGCAAGGAATAGAGAATTTTCCCAGATCTTTCATCTTCTTTGGTAGGTCATTGTGAATTAATGTAATAAAACACTCACCAAGCTCTACCGAATCTATCCAGTTGCACTCTCTCTTGCCACTCAAAATATCCTTAAGGAATTTGGAATATCTAGGCATTTAGGTCATAGCTTCGGTGACAGGGATAAAAAGATGGACCTCCTTCAACATGTAAAGGAATCTACCAAAATGTTCATCTAACTTGTTCCTCATAAACTTTCGAGGATATGGAAGGTTGGGTTTTCAAACTTCCTCTTGCACTTTCTCAACATTTTTCTTTTTCTCATGGACTTCCTCTTTGCTCACACTCTTTGACACATCTTTCTCTTTTTCCTCACACTCTTTGACACATCTTTCTCTTTATCCTCACTTGAATCACAATCACTCTTCTTCTCATCCTCCTCACTATTCCTAGAAACTCTCTCTTCAAGCACTTTTCCACTCTTTATGGTGATAGAATAAACGGGTTTCTTAGGATCAACTCCTTGAGAAGGTAATGAAGAAGGTCTAGCACAATCTTTTAAAGTGTTGGTTTGTTGAGTGCTTTGGGTTTCAAGTATCTTGTTGTGTGTCATCATCTCATTGAAATTCTTATCACTCACCGACATGTAGGTGTTCAAAATCTTGGTTTTGTTTTCAATTATCACCTCTAAGGTAGTCTTGGAAGATGGGGGTTGAGCATAAGAATTGTCACCATGGCCTTGAGGTCTTGGAGCAAATCCGAGTGGGGGTCCCCTTTTGTTGTTGTTTTGAAAATTTCCCCTATGTTGATTGTTCCAATTACCTCGACCTTGATTGTTACCAAAATTTTGGTGTTGGCCACCAAATCCATGAGATTGGCCTTGATTTCCATACCCTTGGCTTTGGTTTTGATTATTATAACCTTTGTTATTATAGTTACCTCGGAAACCTTGATTTTCTTTGTTCCTATAACCACCATTGTTTTAGTTATCAAACCTACCTTGTTGGTGAGAATTCCTATTCCCAAAATTCCTTGGACCATCAAATATTTGCCCATTGTTATTATTGGAAACAAAAGTCACTTGAACACAGTCATTGTTTTCAACATCATCACAATTTTCAAAAGCATTTGGACAATTTGAAGAATCATGAACATAAGACCCACAAACATCACAAAAGATACAACCACTTGGCATATTACTCGAGGCAGAAGGAGGAGTAGATTTAGAAGGTGTACCTCTCCCTTTTATGTGGGACGGAAGACTTGTTGCAATCAAAGAGGCACTCTCTAGCTTGGCTTTAATAAATGTCATCTCCTTTCCTAACTTTTAGATTTGGGAAGACAAGTTATTGATTGCATTAAGATGATCAACCGAATAAACCGTTGAGCCACTCTTACTAGTGGACTCTCTCTCTCCCTCTTGCCAATCCATGTAGTGACGAACTACATCCTCAATTATATCTACAACTTCTTCTTTGGTCTTTTTCATAATCGGGCCTCTAGCTCCGGCATCAAGACACGACTTCCCTTAGGGGCTCAATCTTCCATTGAAAATTTGTATGATTTGATATGTTGGAATTCCATGATGAGTACATTCTCGTTGATACTCCTCGTACCTTTCTCAAGCCTCATATAAACTCTCACTAGGCTTTTGCTTGAAATTTAGGATTAGAGTTCTTGCCTCGGCGGTCTTATTTGGAGGATAGAAACGGGGAAGAAACTCCTTAGTAACCTTATCCCAAGTTCTCAAGGAATTGGGTTTCACTTCCTTGTCCAACAATTCTAAAGCCCTTCCGATTAGAGAAAACGAAAATAGCTTGAGCCTTATGAATTCTTGAGAAACCCCAAAGACCTTGATGGTATTACAATACTTCTCAAACTCTTTGAGATGGTTTAGTGGGCTTTCATGCTTGGCACCTCTAAATTGCCTTCTTTCAATCATTGTTATTGTTTCGGGGTTTTTTAGATGTCCTGCGGGAGAGTTACAATTCCGAGACTGGAAAATGTGCTTGCCTGGAATGAACCCTGCCTGAGCATCATCAATTCAGTTGCAAAAAGGATATTGTCACCAATGTGATAGCAGCAAGCCTAGCAGTTACGACTTTAGAAATGAGCTTATAGACCACTGTACAACAAGCTATAGGTCTAAAATCCTTAACATGAGAAGCATTAGGGATTTTAGGAACCAGAGTGATAGTTGTGCAATTCCATTGCTTAGGCAAAGTCCCTTTAGTGAAGAAATCAATAACACTAGCATAAATATCATCTTTCACAATATGCCAAGCTCTCTTAAAGAAAAAGGAGTTAAAGCCATCAATACCAGGAGCTTTAGTGTTATCCATTTCCTTAAGGGCAGCATCAATTTCAGCATGAGAAATAGGCCTAATGAGGTAGCTCTGAGCAGCACAGCTAAGCTGCTTACCCCTCCTCATAGTGACAAGGTCAACAACAGGGAGCCAAGGAGCCTGAGTCCCTAAAAGAGACTTATAGAATGAGATAATTTCATGAGAAATATCATCTGGATCCTTGAGCAACACCTGATTAGAATCAAAGATGGAGTCAATTCTGTTCCTTGCTTGTCTATTCTTCATCACAGAGAAGAAATAGTGAGAATTGCCATCTCCAAACTTAACCCAATTGATCCTAGATTTTTCTTAAATCAATATACTTCGTATATGTTAACTTGATATTAATATTTGGTTCTACTAATTAAAGGAAGACATCAACAACTAATATTTACAGTTCGGATAACAAAAACAATTAATAATACTCCAATGTCCAATTTATAATTATATACATCATCCATTCACTTTTGTACCGTAATTATTGCAATTGAAATTTCCAATTTGGGACACTTTGACCCTAGAAGTTTAGAACAAATTAAATGATGTATTGTAATTAGCACTGTCAAAACGGTTTGACAGTTCGGTTTTGGTTCGGTTTGAAATCGGTTCGGTATTAAATCGGGTCGGTTTGAAATCGGTTTAATTGTCTCACGGGTCGGTTTTGGTTCGGTTTAAATAGTTATCGGTTCGATTCGGTTTCGGTTTATTCTTGAGCGGTTTTAATTCGGTTTCGGGTTGTAAACAGTTCGGGTAGTAAACGGTTCGGTGCAGACGGGTTGCGGTTTGTTAACGGTGCGGTGTAAATGGTTTTTACCCCGGTTCAAACTGTTTCGGGTTGGAAACGGTTTCAGGTTAGAAACAGTTCAGTTCTTTTTTGGTTCAGTTTATAACTGGTTCGGTTCTTTTTCGGTCCAGTTTTTAACTGGTTCGGTTTTTTTTTGGTTCAGTTTATAACTGGTTTGATTCTTTTTTGGTTCAGTTTATAATTGGTTCGGTTCTTCTATGATTTAACGTTATTCAGATCAGTTCCATTTCAAGTTTACTAAATTACGGTTCGGGTCGGTTTTCGGTTTCAAAAAATAAATTGTTTATCGAGTGTTTGGATTCGGGCAGTTAAACGGTTTTGGTTTGAAATTTGATAGTTATTGCTAACCTTTTGCATTCACAAGTTTTATATAAAGTCGCGAATCATTTCATATTTAGGCATCATATTGTAAACAAATTCTCATTGATTTTATAAATACATATTATGTTCTATTTCAAGTTTAGTCATACTGATCTTACTAGTTTATTATGAAGTAGATTATAAGAGTTAGTGTATTAATGTATTATTGTTTTACAATTAGGTTATTATATGCTTCTTATTTAATCATTTATATACTACGCGTAGTATCATAGTTATGATTTGATGAGTTCTTGTGAAATGGAAATTTGCAATTTGGTAATTCGATACTTGATTAGTCAACAAGACTGATAATTATGACTCGTTTATCATTATATATTTTCATGAAATTATGAAGATATTACAAAGTACTTTGATTTGTATAATGAAAGAAAACAGTAATGACTAATTAACAAGGTAATATTGATTAGTTCAATCGATCATATGTACACATTATTAACACATGGCATCTAACTATCTCATAGTTAAATATTCGTATCATCGTTATTCATATGTATTAGTACAAAGTTATAGACTCATGAGTGATTTTTTAAATTTATCTATTTATACATTTTATTAATATAACGTTTTTATAATTTTTACGTGTATGAAAATAAAAATATACTTGTTGATGTTTTAATACGTGTCTTGGGCATTGATCCCGATCAAATGGGGCAAAAAAATACTTAAGAACTGAGGGAATAATATTTTTGTAGATGAATATACAACACACAAACACACACGGATCACCACTCTTAACCATAGATTAAAAAATCAATGGTTAGATTCTTTCTCCCACAAAACACACGGATCACCACTCTCAACCATAAATTAAAAAATCAATGGTTAGATTCTTTCTCCCACAACACACACAGATCACCATTCTCAACCATAGATTTTAAAAAATCAATGGTTAGATTTACGTGAAACCCTTTCACTCTCACTCTCACTCTCACTTTACCACTCTCACTCTATTCTCACGGGCTCACGGTGCCTCTCAGATCTCCCTCTCCGTGACATTCATTCTCACGGGCTCACGGCGCCTCTGTCTCCCTCATACATTCATTCACGGCGCCTCTGTCTCCCTCATACATTCATTCACGGCTGCCAGAATACCAAACCTTGAAGCTGTCCTGATATCCTCTCTCTCATCGATGTTGTTGCTGCCCTAAATCTCCAAATTCAGGTATGAACTCTCTCTTTCTCGTACTTCTTGCGATGTCGTAGTGTAGAATCTGAGCTAGGATGTAGAATTCAGGTATGAAATTCTTAGTAACATGATTTAACCAATTTATAATGGAGGAAGTATACAAAATATATATAACAAATTAAATTGAAGAATTGTATAATTCACATGCAAGCACTCCAATTCTTAGCAATCAAACATTAATTTATTTAGGTATAGTAGCTTGTCGATAATATATCATGGTCATTGGCACATGATATTTTTTGTTTCCATCGATTTTAATTGATATTTTTTGTTGGTATGAATTGGGTTTTTATTTTATTTTTTTTTTATTTATATTTTGTTTATGTATTTCTTGTAATGCATGGCAATTGAAAATGTAAATTTGGGGATGAATGGATGATAGTAATAGTATATAAAAGATGGCCAAGTTGTTGATTATATATATATAAATGAATAAATTGACTGAAAGTGTTGAAGAATGGGGTTTTGTTTATAAGGATATATAAGTTTAATTGTTTTAGGAATTGAAAATTAGAGTGAATTAGGAATTAAATTGACAGAAAGTGTTGAAGAATGCTGTATATTCCATTAAATTATGTCCAGGAGCATTACTAGTCTATTATAAACTGAAGTTTGGGCCCAAATGTTGCTAAAATAATAATGCATCAAATTTCCCTCAAAAAAAAAAGTCTACAATTTGATGATCAGAGTCAATTGATTAAGGGTAATTGGTAACACACGAACATTCAAGAGACGGAATTGTACATATTTGAGATTATTAGAACATTGCCAATCATATATTCTCATTAATAAACTAATCCAACTTGCAAGATTTTCTGGTCAGTTTTTAATATATACCATGTTCTTTGCTGATGAGTTGACATATAATGGAATATGGTTGCTCCACTACATCTACTTATGATGAAATGTGTTGTTTTGTTTCTGTTTTTTTAGCAATGGAGCAAGGGTATGGAAATTATGCTGCTCTATTCTGCTGCTGTTCTATTCTTCTGTTCTGCCATGTCTGCTGCTCTTCTATTCTGCTGACTGTTCTTTGCTGTTTTGATGTCTATTGACTGCTGCTCTTCTGTTCTGCTGCTGCTATTCTGCCATGTTTGCTGTTCTGCCATTCTGCTGTGTCTGCTAACTGCTGTAATGTTCCTGTGGAAAAAAATTGCTAATGGACTTTGCTTGGTTTTGGGATTGTTATATTGAAGTGTTGTGTATTGAAGAATGAATTCATAGTTTTTGTTTGAGCTTGAAGAAATGACTTGACACTCTACTGTTTTAGTTATCTCAGCAAATTTGCTGAGCTTAAGGATGTTGATTCAATGCTTCCGTTATAATGATGTATTATTCTCAATCCGTGGACTTGATTTATGTATTTACGGAAGTTTGTTATTTCATAGTTCTTATCTCATATGATCATCTTGTGTGTGGGATTAAGTTGGGGACTTGGGGTAGGTGGGTAGAAAATTGTTTCATTTTATATTCAAGGCTGTATATAATTTTAGTTTATTTTTGGTTTAAGCATGGAAGGCCTGGCATGATAATTATGGAGTTTCCCATCTAGGATAACAGAGCAAACTAAGGGTTTTTACAATTGACATTCCAATAGAGTGTGACCAATGATGAACAGAAAACAACATCCTTAATCCATCACAGTGGGCAATGGGCAATGGCAATGATTGATGGCAATGGGCAATGGCAATGATCCCTCCCCATTCCCTCTTGAAATATTGAAATTTGGCCTGCTATTAAAACATATGAGCATAACATGTGTCATATACAAAGTCTAGCCATAATATGTGTCATTGGCTATTCAAGTTCCTGTTTCTTTTGCTCGTAGTTCTTGATAATGTGGCTGTCAAGAAAAATTGATAAGTTTGGAATATATGCTAAATATATTCTAAGATTTCTAATATTTAATCCTTTTAATTATATAAAAAGTTTGTACTATTCAAAAAAAAAAAAAAAGTTTGTAAACGGTTCGATTTATAAGCGGTTTGGTTCATAAACGATTCGGTTTATAACCAGTTCGGTTTACAACCAGTTCGGTTTTTAAATGGTTCGGTGTAAACGGGTAGCAGTTTGTTAACGGTTTGGTGTAAACGATTTTTATGCCAGTTTAAACGGTTTCGGTTTGGAACCGGTTTCGGGTTAGATACGATTCAGTTCTTTTTTAGTTCGGTTTTCTTTCAGTTCGGTTTATATTTGGTTCGGTTCGTTAACATGTTCGGTTCTTAAACGGTTTAACATTACTCAGATTGGTTCGGTTTCGGGTTTACAAAAATGCAGTTTGGGTCGGTTTTCGGTTTAAAAAACGGTTTTTAATCGGTTCGGTTTTCATTTGGGTCGGTCAGATTCGGACAGTTAAACGGTTTCGGTTTGAAATTTGACAGCACTAATTGTAATTGATTATTGATAGAATATATGATAGATATTCTAGTTATGATAGTAGGAGATATATTTTGTGAATATTTGTAAATATCTTGAGATTCCTAACGATATTAGGTCTCATGTAGAGATGGCAATGGATCGGATTTGATTCGGGTGGAGCTTCACCCGCATCCATCCATTATCCTAATTGCTCCATCCACATCCATCCGTCATCCGCTTCACACATTATCCATATCCATCCGTCCATCATCCACGGATGAAACGGGTGGAGCGGATGACAAAGGGATGAGTACTAAAATGAAAAAAAAACTCACAAAAATTTTAATTTTCGGTTATTTATATAATAATTTTTTTATTTTATTAATAAAAAAGAAACAATAACAACATATTGTTTGAAAAATTAATTTGCAACAAAAAAAGACAAGTAACTTTCTTCCACATTTTATATTTTATTAGTAAAATTCTTTGATTAAAAATTTAATATATGTTAAACGGGTGGGTGGATGGTTAGCGGGTGAAAAAAATATCATCCACATCCGATCCGATCCATCACCCGCTTCTCATCCATTTAATTCGGGTTTTCGTCGATTTATTTTAAGCGGGTGAAGCGGGTTAGCGGATATCCACTTAATATTGCCATCCCTAGTCTCATGTTTGTAACCCTATTTATACGGATCAATGGAATAGATTCCGTTCTGAGGAGTTTACATTATCTAACATGGTATCACAGCTTTAGGTTACGATCTAGCTTCCGCAATTTAATTTTTCTTTAGCTTCCAATAATCTTTGTCCTCTTCCCACGACATCTTGATCTTTGGTGCACCTGCAAATTTTTATTTTGTCCACTACAAATTAATTGATCTATCTATCAATTAATTCCCTTTTACAATTACTTTCTTTTGTTCTTCTTTGTGGTGCGCCTATCTTCTTGCTGTCATCATGGGAAAAGATGACAACTCATCTTCATTCGCGTCTTATCATCCTGCTCTAGGTGTTAATAACATTAAGAATGTTTTTCCTCTAATTCTTGATCGAGAGAAGGTCCAATATTCAAATTGGGTTGAACTATTTGAGTGTATGCACACGCGTACAATATTCTTGATCATGTTGACTCTAAAACACCTAAATCGACGGATCCATCCGATGAGATGTGGAAACGTCTTGATTCCATTGCCAGGAACTGTATTTATGGCACAATCTCTAAGGATTTGCTTGAAACAGTTATAAAAAAAGGGGCTACGGCTCAACAGATTTGGGACAAGCTCAAGGCGATTTTTCAAGACAATAAAACTACTAGAGCCGTCTATCTTGAGAACCAATTCAACGCCTTGAACCTCTCAAATTTTCCAGATATTTCTTCATATTGTCGTGAATTGAAGAATTTAAAAGATCAATTGGCCAATGTTGATCAACCGATGTCGGAGCAAAAGTTGGTGATTCGCTTGTTTCAAGGCTCGTAAATACTGATTTTGACACGGTGACTGCTATGATTCAATAAACAGACTCATTACCTCCGTTTGAAATCGCAAGATCCAGACTCTTGGTTGAAGAATCACGTCGTGCCAACGACAACTCTATTGCACCATCATCCTTTGTGGCGCAATCCGGCTGTCCCACACAGCAAGCCGCTGCCTCTTCTTTCCAACAACAACAACCACAATCATCAGGCCGTGGTGGCGGATCAGGTGGCCGTGGCCGCGGCAAAGGGCGCGACAGAGGCCCCCAGCAACAGCAGCAACCCCAGCAGCAGCAAGGGGTGCCACAGTGGGGACAACCTCAATGGGCTGGTCCACCGCTGCACCCTTAAGCCTAGCCAGGGGCACTTCAATGGGGTCAGGCCCCGTGCCCAAACCCACAGCAGTCGTGGCATGTACAGCGGCCTGGGTATCCTACTCCACAAGCAGCCAGGCCACCTGCCGCCTATCATGTTGGGCCAAGCCCAACGTTATACAATAATCAGCAGCCTCCGCAGCTGTATTATTCTCAAGGCTCGGACCCCAATTCGGCTATGATACCCACCGAGCTCGGAAACGCCTTTGCTACGATGGGATTGCAAAACTATGATCCGGCTTGGTATATGGATTCCGGTGGCGACTTCCCACATGACCAATAATGCCGGTAATCTCTTACCCCTTTTTAATTTAAGCACAAATAATCATATTCAGGTGGGAAACGGTCATCGCATTCCAATTACGGGTTATGGTCACTCTAGCATAGCTAATAAATCCCTTTCCCTTCGTGATGTTTACTTAGCTCCCCAAATTATTAAAAATCTAATTTCCGTTCGTAAATTTACCAATGATAATTCTGTGTCTATATAATTTGATCCTAGTGGTTTTTCTGTGAAGGATCTACAAACAGGGAGAATTCTAGCCAGATGTAATAGTACGGGGGATTTATATCCAGTCACAAACACACCATCCACCTCTCTAGCTACATCGCTCACTGCCTCATCTCTTTCCACATGGCACAACCGCTTAGGACATCCCGGAGCACCCACTTTAAGCTTTCTTAGGAGTAAAAATTTTATTGATTGTAATAAGGAGCAAGACTCCATTTTTTGCGTAGGTTGTCAATTGGGAAAACATGTTCGTTTGCCTTTTAATAATTCTAATAGTACTACCTTTTCTGCGTTTGAAATTATTCATGTTGATTTGTGGACTTCTCCCATTCGTAGTGATAAAGGTGATAAATACTATTTAGTGTTATTAGATGATTACACTCGTTATGTGTGGACTATTCCTCTTGTTTTTAAGTCTCAAGCCTTTCAAACCTTTCTTAATTTTTGACAATATGTGCTTACCCAATTTGAGCGTCCCATTAAGTCATTTCAAAGCGACCATGGTCGCGTATTTGATAATGATCCGTTCAAACTTTTCTGTGTCGAAAATAGATTGGTTTTTCGCTTTTCTTGTCCACATACATCATCACAAAATGGCAAAGCTGAACGCATGATTCGTACGATTAATAATATTAAATGTACAATTCTATTTCATGCCTCTCTCCTACCTCCATTGTGGAGTCATGCCCTTGAAACGGCCACTTATTTGTTGAACCTCATGCCTACCAAAACACTCAATAAAATTACTCCTGCTCAAGATTTATTTGGCATTGTCCCATCCAACACTCACCTTCGAGTTTTCGGGTGTCTCTGTTTTCCTAACCTCTCCGCCACGGCCAAACACAAGTTAGCACCTCGATCCATACCTTGTGTATTTCTTAGGTATTGTAGACACCCATTTGTGTCTCTCCAAAACCAAACCCAGTGATGAGTACCTTTCACATCGAATCATATCGAATGAAGTGAAAGTGTGGAAAGTTTAGTGTTGCGGATAGTTTTAATTTCTTTTCTCCTCTCTCTGTTTTTGAAACCTGTTTTAAGAAAACAGCCAATCCAGTTTGGATGGTACATGATATGGGTCCAATAGTAGTGTAGTTGGATGGGGTTTGAAAAGAGCTTTCCAACGATATATTATAAGCCCAATTCCAATGAATATTGAGGAAGTTATAGCCAAATTACTGAACTGGGCCTGGTTTGAGCCTTATATACGGCTCAATGATCTAGAGGAGGGCCTAATATAGATTTATCATTCCTAATGCAATTAGGAATGGTTTTAGTTTTCTAGATTCTTCTAGAAGGTTCTTTTCATTCCTAATTCAATTAGCATTGATAAATTGACTTTTGTTGACTTTTTAGAGTTTTAATCAGAATCAAAGAACGTTTTTGAGGAAAATACGATTTTATTCTCCTGTACGGCAATTTCTATCTGATTTTAAGAAAGCGCGTGAATTTCTAAGTTAGCGCCAAACGCCAGCTGTAGCGCCTGACGCTACGCTTGGCGCTTGGCGCTAAGGTCAGCGTTTGGCGCTAACTTGGCTTTTTGCGTCAAAACTCTGTTTTTGATGTTTTATCTTTTTGGCTGATTTTCTTTATAAATAACGTGTTAAAAACTCCGTTTTCATTCACCAATTCTTATTCTCTTTTTCACCAACTCTCATCAAGATTCTCTTGATTATTCC